CATGGAACTTGGACCATTTCATACTTGCTAGTGATGAAATGATCCAAGTCTCCAAGGTCCACTTCTTTCCTTGATCTTTCATGAAAGGGAGGAGGTTTGTGTCTCATTTTGCATTTATTGAACTTGTATATCTTGAATCACAAGCCATTATGAAATGAAATTACTTGAGTTGGTGGTTTGTGGCTTAAGTTCACATTTCCTTGGATTTGTTCATGAAAAGGAAGGGTGAGTTGTGCAAACAATCTGTGAGAATACCCTCTTTTTGCTCTGTTTGTCCTCTTTTGCAGCAAGATGAACCAGTGCATCAGTGCCCGACAGGTGGCCGGCAGACCACCATTCATGGCCGGCAACATTCACCAGTGGCCGGCTGGCCACTGATGCAAATCTCAGTAGAGTGTTGGTAAAGTGCAACAAAATTGTTTTGGAAGTGTTCAATTGTGCAAACAGAGGCTTTCGAGAGCAAAGCGGAGGTCTTTTTGGGTGGAAACCGAGCATGCGCATACACATCTTTCATTTTCCGAGGCGGAACAAAAAATTAGCTTAGTTTAGTTACTTAGTTAAATTATTAGTTGCAATTGTTTTGTAATTATTTAATTAGTTAGTTAACTAATTTGTTCATTTGTCGTTGTAATAATTAGTTAATTAGTTTAGCTAGTTATTTATTTTGGTTTATAATAATTAGCTTAATTAGCTTAGCCTAATTAGCTTAAGTAGCATAGCTTAATTAGTTTAGCTTAGTTATTCATTTGGATGTTCCTTCGTGAGAGCGTAATGTAATAATGTGCATGTCTTCCAACCCCATGTCTTTCTCCCTTTTATTTTTCGTTTATGATGGTTAGATTAGGGACATGTTTCAATTAGCATACCTTATGCTTGCATCCATTCGTCTTTTATTGCATGCACCGAGGCTCGGCGCATCATTCAAACCACATTGTCATTTCAATACATTTCTTTGAATACGTGTTTAACCGCATGTTAACAAATTGAATCACATGCCATATTAGTAGCTGAGCCTATTAATTGCATTCTTTCTATGTGTTGCATTAGACATTTGGCATATTTAGGAATCATGCATTTTTTCTAACTCTTTTGTTTACTTGGGCTTGGAGTACTAGGTGAGATTTTAGTTTTTTAGCATACTTGCATGAGTGTGAGTGATTACCATGACTAGCATGCTTCCCATGAGGCTAAAATACTTACTTGATAAACAGCTTGAGTGCTTGTGGATGAAGGCTTATTGCTTGAATTGGAACAATTCAACGAATGTACATTTTAAGCCCACTTTGTTTAGTGGAAAATTCGCAAACTTTAAGCCCACTTGACGTGAAAAAATCAATTCCTTTTCGCAAAACAAACATGAAATTGAGTTGTTCCAATTTGAGCAAACTAGTCTATACTTGCTTGCGCCCATCACATAGTAAAGCTAGCCTAATAACAAGAATAAGAACACATAATATTGATAAAAATCATATCATGATTAGTAGAGGCCGATCTTTGATCAGGCGAGCGGGGGTGCTCAATTCATGACCTTGCTCTCTCGTACCTAAGTTCCCGAGCTGAGGCAACTTTAGTGATGACGGACACGTGGCCTTTGGCACGAGTCATGGGTTTTCTAAATTTTCCAAAAAATAAAATATTTAGGTGGCGACTCTGCATCTAGCAAAGCAATCCAATTTTGGCATTTTTTATTCTAAAATCAAATTTCTAAAAAATTTGTCCGATTTGGACTCTTTGGTGTTTATCAATTTCACATTGCACATGTGAGATTAGATTTAGAACCATGGGAGTTTGAATTGTAGGGCTTCTTTCAAACTTCCGAAAGGGGGCGTGAAGAAGTTGAGCTACACACATCAGCAAAAGCTGCCTCTTCCTCATTTGTTTGTTCTTTTTTTATTTTTTATTTTTGTCTTTAGTGTTGATACAACATCTACCAACAAAATGTCAAACAAAAATAGAGACAAGAACATTATTTGAATGAAAAATGTGAATATTGGAATATCAACTATATGACTAAACATTTTCAATGTAAGATGAAAATTAGACTCCAAACATTTACAATGGAAAGGTTTATACTTCAAACATGAATGTCAAGAACAAAATCTTGACAATATGACTCAACATAATCAATGTAACATGGAAAACAAACTGCAAACATTCACAATGAGAAGATTCATACTTCAAACACAAATGTTAGTAATGGAATCTTGGCAATGTGACTCAAAATAATCAATGTAGCATGCAAACATTCACACTGAGAAGATTCATACTTCAAACATGTCAAACTCAACCACAAAGCAAATCAGAAACTTGGTTAGACAACCATTCAAGAATATAGTAAAAATGTTTTTTATTACAATGTCTCCTTACAAGTCTAGTCCAAAAGACTATACTATTATTGCTATGGTCTATTTATTGCAGAACAACTGCATTATTTTCATACTTTTATTACAAAAGAAATAATGTCTTTTATGGCAATGTCTCTTTGTAAGTCTTCCTATTATGACCGTACTTCTCGCATTTACCACATTGTACTCATCTTATCTTCTCATCCCTAGATGGAATCCTATTCTTTCTTGGTCTACCAAGTGGCTTCTTACAAATTGGAGGAAGGATAATAAGATCATCCATAGCTACAAGAGGTTTCTCAACAGTGGGTATTGGATAAACGGACTCAGCATAGCAAGCTTTGAACTTGCTAATGTAATAAAATGGCTCCACATGTGCATACAAATCACCTCCGCTCTTTTGGATAGCGGTCGCCGTGTGAGCACAAGGAAATCTATTCAATTGCCATTGGTAACATGAGCAAGTTCTATTCACAAAGTCAATGCTAACCAATGGCCAAGATTGAACCTAAAAAACATGATCACTTGAACGACTAACCAACCAAGTTCTTCCACTTTTAAGAGCATTTACTAATGTTAAATCCATCTCCGAACAAAAAAAAGTATTCCATTTCTTAGCTTGTTCTCTCATTCTTGACATTAAATCCATGATCTTCAACCTAATTGAATCAATCATCTACGTAGAGGGCAAATGACAAGCTTGACAGATCCATGAATTGAAAGACTCCGCCACATTCGAGTACATTTCATTGTATTTTTGTCCTTTAAAATATGCGTTAGTCCACTTGTCATAAGGCAAATTAGATAGAAACCTTCAAACGATCCCTTTTCCCTCATCTTGTAATTCTTTCAAACACTGATTAAAACATTCCACTGTCGGAGCATAATCACATGAAAAAAACAAAAAAAAACTATTCTACTTTTGAAAGTATTGCTGAAACTTGGACTGGAGAACCTATCCCTCAAATTGGCCTTCAAGTGTTGGAGACAAAAATAGTGGTAAGTAATAGGTAAAACCTTGGGTAAAGCCTCCAAAAGTCCAGTGTTCCGATTAGATATGAAGGTAATTAGTCTTTCATCCAATACTATATTCGACAAATGCATAAAAAATCATTCCCAACTGTCTGTAGCCTCCGTATCGACAATTTCCATTGCAAGAGGAAAAAAACCTGAAAAATAACATTTTACGATTAGGGATTGTTTGGGATGATCTAAATAAGTGTACTTTTTATCTTTTTACGAAAAGATGTGCATAAAAGTAGAGAGGTGATGTAATGGAAAAAAGATAAAAAGATAAAAAGATAGATTATTTTGTGTATGCCAAGCTTGGCCTTAGTAAGTATATTAAACGAAAAGGACAAATATAGTAGATTTTTACTCTGAATAACAGTAATATGTTACTCTGAAAATAAGTAACATGTTACTTTGAGAATAAGTAACTTGTTACTTTTCAATAAACTATAATAATATCTACCTTGATCCCCATCCTTCGATGTAGCTATTAACAAAGTGCCCTTAATTTTCCCTTCAGAAAAGTTCCATCGATAAACAATAGAGGACGGCAATGCCAAACCCTTGCATGGAAGCATTAAATGCAACAAAAAACCTCTTGAACCATCCACTGTGATGGTTATAGTCAAGAAGCAAATAGCTACCAGGATTTGTGCTCATCACATTATCCATGTACCATCGAATCTCATCATAAGACATAGAGAAATCTCCAAAAGTAGTAGTCCTAGCTTTTTCAACTCCCAACCAAGCGTGATTGTACGTAATGGTGAGCCCGTATTGATTTGTAAATTGACGCACAACATCAATTAGACGAGTTTGGGGATTCTCACGAACTTCACTCTACAACAAAACTGAGTTTTTATGACTCTACATTAACGACATACAAAAAATGCAAGCCGTGGTTTCTCATTTTTACGACTTACTTTTTTTGCATGTCGTAAATAATTTCTCAACTACGGCTTGTCTATTGAGTAGGCCGTAGATACTAATAATGATGATTTTTTTACGGCTTGCGATGTTAGCCGAAAATAATAAAACTTTCTATGACGTGCATATGGCATGCTATTAATACATCAACTATACACGACACGTGTACACCAGCCGTTAAAAATATTGAACATTTCATGGCGCATAAAAAATCAATTGTTAAAAAATACATTTTCTATGACGCACATATGCTGACCGTTAAAAATATTTTACTTTTCACGACACGCAATTTCTATTGTAAATAATATGACCAAAATAAAAATAAGCGCCAAAATAAAATACTTTGGCGTCGAATGCTAAAATGAAATACTCTTCCAATTTGGCATATTACTCTTTCTAAACACACACTTTCTCTCTCTTTCTCCAAACCGTCTCAGGCTCACAGATCATTGTCTCAGTCTCATAGATTTTCGTCTCAACCTGAGCCTTCATCAAAACCCTAACCCTAATCTCCTCTACCATTGTCCAAAGCCTCTACATTGTGTCCCACTACCCTAACCTCGTCGACGATGCCTTATTGGGGAAGAGTAGGGTGAGACGGTGGTGTTCGTCTGCCTCAAAAGCGTAGGGTGCTTCGATCCATCTCGACTAGCGGAGATCGCGGCAACGTTGGAGAAGAGCGGCCACCAATTCTTGTGTTCCATGGAGCCTTTGCCGATGATTATTCCGTCTCCATCCGCTCTCGTCTCCCCCCCGTCGCTTCTCTCAACCTAATTTCTTGGGACTTCCATACCGATCACCTCCTTCCTATAATCTCTCTCTCTCTCTCTCTCTACTCATCTGAATGTATAGAGACTGGCTAGGTTACTTCATAGACTAATAGTTCTCTTTCCAATTCTAGGGTTTTATATTTCTATAAAAATCTGAGAAATTTGAGATTGATTATAGTTTCTGACGAATAATACTGATTTCACGGTGATTGGGGTGATCGGACTGCCTAGGGTAGGGAAATTGACGATAATGAACGAGCTCTATGGCTTTGCTGGAACTTCACTTGGTAACATATACATATATGCTCTTACTCTTCACTTGGTAACTTTGATGGAGCTGCTTGTGTCTGGTGCATTTTGATAGCTTATGGTTTTTTTGCTTTTGTGTATCTGTGTTGTTGTATCTCCTAGCACTGCTTTTCTGTATCTGCTAGCACTGCTGTCTTGTTAGCTGCTGTTTTTTGCTATTTTACTTTTGTGTTTTGTGTTTGGTTGGTGAGAAAAAGTAGGAAAGTGAAAGAAAGTGAAAGGAAAACTGGGAATTGGGAATTGTGTTGATTGTTATGCGTATGGAATGTTTTTTTGATACTCTGATTGTTTGTTTCAAATTGGACTTCATAGTATTTTTTTGTTTTTTAGTGAAATACCACTGTTGTATCAGTTTAGAAATATTTGAACTGGAAAAAAATTTGAGAATTAGAGATTTTTTCCCTGATTTTTTGCTTCAATTTAAATTTTGTAGATGCTGGTTGCTAAAGTGATCTGTATATATTATATAATTTAATTACTTTGATCGGATTTGAATTTAAAATATTAGAAATTGAAGCATTTGAGAGATGTTGAGAATTGAGAAATAAAAGTAGTTTCTTAGGGCAATTTGGGATTAGAGAAAACATCGACACAACTTCACCTTTTGATTCACACCAAATAGGTGTTCTGGCTGTAATAAATCTTGGTATAGATAAAAAAAATGTATAGAATATGATCATGAACAGTTGGCTAGATTTTTGAGATTGGCATGTCAAGGCAATAAAATATAATTTTTTTGAATAGTTTTTACCTTTCTTCTATATTCAAGTAATGATTAGTTTCTATAGCATTTGTTAATGCTTACCAGGATGGTTCTGTGGTAGGATCAATTGATAAACAAGATGTATCTAGTACAGAAATGCATTATTAGGATGCAATTTTTGCTTGCAAACATGAAAATTTTAGATGTTAGTATTGCTTTTGGAGTCATTTTTTCACAGAAAAACAGAAATAATCATTGAAAATCACAGATTTTGTAAGTGACTTGTAGAGCAGTTTTTAGTCTGTCCAGTTTATAGTGATCTTGATTCCTGTTGCTTCCTTCCTTTTTCTTTTTGGTCTTAATTACTTGGAGAAGAATATAGAATCCCCAAGCTTTCTGCTCTCTCTTTTTCCGTCTATCTGAGAAAGTTAGGGCCTTTTTGGTCGTGCTTTAGTTTTCTTCATTTTCATCTTTCATGTTCTTAGAAACACGGAATGAAAAGTTTGAAAATCACATCATTTTCATTTTTGAGCAAAATCAGTTTTTGAAATTTCAAAAACTTGTTGATGTGACACTTTGATACTCCAATTTCTGCATGAGTTGCAGGTATTTCTTTATCATGTATCTTATTACATTGTCATTAGTTTTAGGTTGGCTGGAATTAAAACCTCAAGGTTTATGTTTGCCTGCTTTTGAAAGAATATATCACCTTTGGTACTTGGTAAGCTAGAAAAAGATTAGAAGAAGAAGGTTGGGTTTTTTTTGGTGCCTTTGTATTTGATGTGGAGCATTTGGGAAGAGCATAACCGGAGGAAGAATGATGCTAAACTTTCTTCCTCAAAGCATATGACCTTTAAGAAAACTCTTTAACACCATTATTGTTTGTTTCTTAATTGGAATTATTTGTTATATTTTGTTTTCTTTTTCACAGAGAAAGAGAGAGAGAGAGAGAGAGGGAACATGTAGGTAGTGTCAGTTTGTCATGTAGATTTAGATGATATATTTTGTTTACTCTGTCATAATGAATTGGTTATTATGTTTTGGGAATCTTCCTTCACTTTGTATATAATTGCATTGGGTTTATTCTAAAATTTTCTCAAAATTTAACTAATCAATTTTTGTAGATCAGCATTATGCAATGGCTAGGCTTAAAACATGCTTGGTCATACAATCCCAAGATCCTACTGCTGAATATCTTCCAAATTGTAAGGTTGGAACTTCTCCAATTAGGCTCGAAACTACTTAAGTGTGTTTTTCTATCTTCCTACACATTTCCCTATATCTGATACTGCTGTTTAAATTTAAGTAGTTTTGACTTTAGATAAATTGTTCTCAATAATTGCAAATGCTGCTTGAACCTCTCAATCGGCTGAAGCTAGCAGATGCTCATCTTAATACGACCCAAGGAGTGCTTGAAGGGGTGGCTATGTAACAATCATTTTGATTATTTAGATTTATTGTGTCTGAAAGGCATTGTTTCCTCAATTATGCTTTTATCCATGGGCAGTTCTCATGTTTTTTTTTTTTTAGGTGATATGGTAGGTGGTTGGAGACGAGCTTGGGGTTCTCCCTGGCATGGATTCTATATTTTCAGCCTTAGCACTTCAGAGGAATGTAGGATTCTCTGGGAATGTTGCTCAAAGAAACCAGCAGGAAGATAAATTTGATGTAATTGTATATGATGGTATTAGTACTGAAGAAACTATGCAGATGACTGGCGCAACTAGCAAAGCAAGGTTAGGAAGAACTCTCTCTCTCTCTCTCTCTCTCTCTCTCTTTCTTCATGTGATTCTCTCAATCTTCATAGAATCACATGTTTCTGTACAGATTGTACTTGAAGCATTTTTGGAACTTGGCTGAAAAGACTGACCTTGGGAGGTTGGCTGGTCCGTCTCTCTTGAGACTTGCAAATGAAGCTATTAGTTCAAGCACTAGAGGGTCCCAGCTCAATGGGAAAATGAGTGCAGAAATATGGGACGATCTGGAACAAACTCTGGAGGTATTTTGATACCCATTTCATGTTGTTATCCTCTGTTAATGCAAGTCAATTTAGATTTGGATTGGTTATGTTATGTGCACTGTAGAAAGGATCTTCTGTCTTTTCGGAACCAAGTATATTTGGCTGCTACTTTGTGATGGACCCAAACAGCCCAACTTCCGTGAACTCTGTCTGTATGCATAGCCCAACTAAGCATTAGCATTTCATTAGCTTTCTTTTTCCCTTACTTTACTTTGTAAATGAGGAGGTCCTTTAAAATTACAGTGTCTATTGTTACATTTTTTTGTTGTGCTTAAGAGGGGGCTTTATATACTTTCTTTAATTGAAAATATACTTGTCTCATTTTATAGTCACATGGATATATAGACATTATGGATTTTCATGAAAACTAGTTTCAGGTTTTTTTTTTATTCTGTTTTTGTAGGAAAACTTCTCCACTAATTGGACTATTTAATTTTGTTCATTTTTCTGCATGTTGTGTGGTTTGAAAATTTAATAAAGTCTAGAATTAGGTGAGGCTAAGGATTATAATTTCTTTATCAATTGAAGAATAAGTTCATTTATGGAAAATATGCCAATGTGTGTCCCATGTACACTAGAGGTTCACAAAAAGAAAATTTAAAAACTATTAGCTCTTATAATTGAAGCCATGTTTATATTATTAAGAACTTAGAATATTATTAAGAACTTGCAATAAAATTGTAGCAATAGCAGGATGCTTACATATGCTTCATGTGCACTAATCACACCAATTTTCAATTCCCCGACAGTTTACTTTATGACGTCTGAGATTGAGTAATAGTTGTTTTGTTTAGTCTTGACATTGGATTGGAACAATTTCCTTTAAATTTCCATTGTCAATCTACATCTTTTGTATGACATTCTTGTCCAAAGTATGGAGTTTTGTATTCATTAATCTTATTCTTTCATTTTATTTACAGATTTCAATCTACACCTTGGGTCATTTTGTTTTCTAATGGCAATTGACTGATGTAGTATTGCTTCGTTAATTGATAAAAATTACAATTAGATGTGGACTTTGTTCAAAGTGATGTGAGGAATTTACGATGGAGAGGTAAATCCTATGTAGCACGGATAGGGACACGGGACACGACACGGACACTCGAAAACACAATTTTTCAAAAAATAGGGGATACAACATGCTGGGGACACGTTTAATATATATAATTTTATTTATTTATTATATGTCTAAAATAAAAATAAAATCATTAATTCTTATACAATCACAATAATAATAAAATTAATAACATAATTTTAAAAAAAAATTAATAAAAAATGAGTTTTTTAAAATAAAAATAATTTATTTTATGAATTTTAAGTTTAACACAAAAAAATGAGTATAAAACAAAAAAAAAAAAAGAAAGGGAGAGAGAACGTTGAAAAAAAATATAAAAGAGAAAATAGAGGAGAGAGAGAGTGAAGTCAAAAAGCAGAGACAGATAGAGTCAGAAAAGGGAGAGACGAAAGGGAGGAGGAGGAGAGGAAGAAAATGAAGAGGAGAAGAAGAAGACCAGAGAAGATGGAGAGAAGAAGGAGAAGAAGAGAAGCAGAATGCCTTAGCTTCTTGGATTGATCTGAAACAGGTTAGGCTTATCTCCCTCGATCTCTTTCTCTTTCTCTGTTTCTATCGATCTCTTTCTCTGTCTCCGTCGATCTCTTTCTCTCTTTTCCTGTCTCCGTCGATCTCCTTCTCTCTTTCTCTACCTCCTCTCCAACAGTTAGGGCTTTTCGATCCCCCTTAGGCGTGTCCGGAAAGTGTCCCACCATGTCCATGGCGTGTCAGACTGGAAGATTTCAAAAAAAAAAAAGAGACACGTTAGAGAGAGTGTCGGACACGTGTCTACCACGTGTCTGACGCGTGTCAGTGTTCGACACATGTCCGACACTCGTACGCAGTGCCTGGGGACGTGTCGGTGCTTCATAGGGTAAATCTCTTTATCTCCCTTTCAGTTACACAAACTTTCACAATGAGAATCCCCCTAGGCTCCCTATCTTTCTTCTTTTTCCAAGCCTCCAGCCAAATTAGGCACTCTATTTTCAGTTTATTTATTTTATTTTTTATTTTTTTTATTTTTATTTTTTACTAATTGGCTCATCGTACATTTACAGGAAAAATACAGTGGATGGGCAAAAGCAAAACTCTCTCTCTCTGACATGCACACACAATAGAAGTTCAGTATGCTTCTGTCATTAGTAATTATGTGTTTGTGTGTGTGGTGCATTCCTTAACTCAAATAGTATATAGAATGCCAAAATCAAGCATCAAAGAAGTTATACCACAAAATTTTATCCAGGGAACTGCTGGACTTGGACTGACTTGGAGAGAAGCGTTTGTTTTCTTGAAGACATTACAAACTGTTCTTTAAGAGATGTGTTGATAGCTAGTTTATCTTTTGGATATTTCCCTTAGAAATATTGTTGTGTAGCATTTGGGGCTGTTGGTAATGAGTTGCAATTCGCGTAACATGATATATTTGCTTAATATATTTCTTTGGGAGATGCTAAGCTTACTATAGTATTCGTTCATTTACCAAAGTAGTGATCTTGATTTCTTGTGTAGGTCCAATTATTGATACTGTTGTTATGAATCCTCCGTTCGGAACTCAGAAAAAGGGGGCAGTTATGGACTTTCTCTTTGCGACTTTGAAGGTAAAGAGGCTAGGACTACTTTTTGAAGCATTGAATGCACGTGTCCGTTCTTTCTTTTTCTAATTAATTTTTTTTGGGATTTTTACCATAGAGATTAATTTGGTTGGCTTTTTATAGCCTCTTTACTGATCAATGTTTTCAAACTAGCTTTATTTTGTAAGAGGCACATATCTATTTGGAGGAAAATTGTTTTTTTTTTTTCTTTATGGACACCTCTGCCAAAGCTGCTGCCAATGTCAATTCATTTTATAAAATAGGTGTGTATCTAATTTATTTTATGCTAGATAGGATTTATTTTAGGCATTTCAATAATAGTGTGATTGTTGCATTCCACTAGCCACTAATGCGCAAGGATACTCGCTGAAGTTTTAACCTTGATTAGATGTTTTCTTATCTTATTTAACAAATTGTTGTATATTCTCTTCATGCTTCATGAAGTACTAGTTTTTAACCTTGATGAATTCCTAGATACTTAGATACTTGATGCTACTGTACCTACCTTGGAATGCTGATGGTGGATTGCTAGTGTAGTTGGCCACCATAACTTTCCGAAGGGCTTAGTCCCTAGGGAAGGTCATGTTCAACTCTCTCTAGTGGGAGTTGAATTAACGAGGCAAGCACTTGGTTCTTTGCAAAGGATGGGGAGGCTAACTTCCATAGGTGCTAATCTAACAACTATTTTGCCGATAAAAAAAGAAAATAAAAATTTGGAGAGATAACTTGGATTAATGTTACTGTAGTTTGGGGTAGGTATGTGGACAAAATTTCCTTGAATTTTGAACTACGAGTTTTTTATTTTGTTGTGCTCGCTAATTTTTTTCCTATTTTGGTACAAACCTTGTAATACCATTTGATTTTATGGTTGAAGTTAAAGGGTTGATTCTATAGCTACGTTACACCCACGAACAAGTCAAGATTTCCAATCTAATCTATGCATAGGAACTCTTTCAGCCCCAGAAATGTTTGTATGGCTACTTTGAATTAGGGATGTGTGGATTGCAATTGGGTGGGTTTAAATGATTTCTGGTAAGGGGTTTTGGTAAAGGGTTTGATGACATTAGTGGCTCAAAGCTAGGAAGAAAGAGTGTGCAACTTCAATGCTAGCTACTGTGTTACATGGGATTTTTCAGAAAATTTGAACTTGTAGGTTTTGTCTGAAAATTAGTGTGTTGCATATTTTTCCTCTGTTAGAATAAGAAACTTTATATTTATTGTGAGTGCTATAACAAAATTATGAAAGATTCAGACAGTGACAATTGTGGTTGATTATGAATTGTGTAATCTATTTTTTCCTTGCAAGCAGCAGTAACTGTGGGCGAGCATAGTTTTTATTTTTTATTTTTTTTTATTTTATGTAATCTAGATATTATTTTGTTGTGGCACGCTTCTTTAAACTTTACCCTCTTGGTTCAAATTATGGGTCAATGCAAATCTTATTTAATCTAGAGAATTACCATGTACTTCATGGTAATAAGAAATGAATATCATATAAATGCCAAGGCTTTTAGAACTATAGAACATATATTACTTTGTTTTTACATTGTACCAAAATGGGCATTTGTTTACTTTTTTGTGGCAAAGAATTTGAAATTGTGGGTTTCTACAAGAAGAGAAAAGAAAAGGAATTTAGGGCTTCTCAGGTTAAGCTCTACCTTATGCTGTATTTGTTGCTTTAGTTCATTGGAGTTAATTTTTTATTTTCATTGTTTCTTATTTACCTACATTCCTCTGTTTTTTTAGCAATCTAGTTTTTGTCATCAACCCCATATGGTGGTTGTTATAGCAATTGCCAACTATCATGGAGGTAGGTAAAAAGAATTTATTTGATTTTGAATATCTACTCTATTGTAGCTGCTGGTTAGTATTTTTGGACTAAAGATGTTTGTTTTTTAAATGAAAAGACTTGCTGATAGTTCTTTGTAAGCCTAATGCCCTTAATTGATGTTGTTGTTATTAAATGGTTTCGTCTAGTTTATTTAGTTGATTAGGTGCATAATTGAGTTTGTTCTTTTGAAAAAGCTTATTGTGTATTGAAAAATGGATTTATTTGCTTTATTTTATAACTAAGAAAAAGCTATGTTTAGCATGTGATTGGCTTATATGACATTGCTTTTATGGGGCCATTGAATTATCTTATTAATTTTGGAAATGTTTAGTTGATGTTTTAAATTTTTTTGATCATTTCTTAATACCTCAAGAAATATTTTTGTCCCTGATTCGTTGGTTTTTGTACTTATGTGAAGTTTCCTTTGTCATGCAGACAAGAAATGCAACAAGGTTAATTGCTCTAACTATTGCCACGAGTTTAGGTGACTTAACACATACATTGGGCACCCTCGTTCCTGTGATAGGAGCAAATGGATTTGCTACAACAGCAGCAGCAGCACCTGTAATAGGAACTGTTGTCGGTAGTTTTAGATAATTTCTTAATAGTTGTCGATATGTTTAGAAAGTTAGATGTGCATAGTTTTGGATGATTTAAACTTTTTGTACAGTTTAGAACTTAAGGATATAGTTTTCGAATGTTTGGAATGTATAGACAATTGTTGAACGTTTATAATTTATGGATATAGTTTCCTTTTGATGTTTCAAACAATATTTTGGTGGTTGATTGATGTTTTGTGATGCCTATTTGTAATATTTGTTAGATTGTACAAAATTGATAAAATAGAACCTGCTGAATTTTAAATTAAAAATAAAAATAAAAAACTACATATTCTACAACAGGCATAATAAGTCGTTGTATTACATATTCTACGACGCGCAACTAGTGTCATTTGTGTGCAAAAATAGTCGTAGAAAAAGTAACGACGATGTACAAAATCTGTCGTTAAATAGTTTTTTACGACATACTATAGCATGTCGTAGAAAAGTAACGACGACGCATAGAATCTGCCGTTAAATAGTTTTTAACCGCGTACGAAGCATGTCGTTGAAAGTGAATGATTTTTCATGACTGGTCATAATATGACGTGTGCTGCACGTCGTAGAAAGGTTTTTACGGCCTACATTGCGCGCCGTAAAAACCCTTTTCTGTTGTAGTGATATTAACAATCAAACTTGCAACCAAATTTCAACTCATCCTTGAGTTTTTAGAAGTACGAACTGCAGCTCCACAACTATGCTCATCATGTAGAGTCCTAATGTAGAAAAAATTATTAGCACTCTCTAGAGATGCATGTACTCACCATAAACAATCTTTGGACTCACGCATTGAATACACAGCAGTGACCTGACACTACTCATTTTTCACATACACAAACTAAATCCTATCTCAATGGCATATTTACATAATGCAGTCCGGAAATCCTTTGCACCTCCAATAAATCTTTGACCTACGTAAGTAATTTCATTTACCCATCCACAAGACAACAAAGTCCTTTTTTCATGTTGACAAAACATATGAAGTAAATCCATTTCATCATCAGTAATGTTGGATCCATTAGCGTCCCCTGATTCTCTAACTCCATGTTTTTCATTTGAGATGCCCATTTCAATAATAGTCACATCAACCCAGTCAACACCAAGGGGATAAACAAGTGACAACATATTCTGAAAATCAGAATCATCATCAATCATGCATTGCGAATATCCAGGTAAACAATAAGATAACAGTATGCAACCACTACTGCCAAACTTTTTCAATTTACAACTTAAGAAATTAGTTAAATCCTTCAACGTGCAGTTTGACACAACCTTGAACACGCATAACAACATAAGAGATGGAACCATTTTTCAAATCTACAATCAATTAACAGTAAAAATTTACTGTCAATCAAAGTAAAATTTTACTGTCACTACAAGTCCAAAACACAAATAATAGAAGTATAGAATACCAAAGTAAAATTTTACTGTCATTCTAACACCAGAGTAAAATTATACTCTCATTTTATCAAGCAAAAACATAGCACATACCAGAGTAAAATTTTACTCTCATTCTATCAAGCAAAAACAGAGCACATACTAGAGTGAAATTTTACTCTCATTAGAGTACATAGAACCAGAGTAAAATTTTACTCTCATTCTCTCAAACAAAAAACAGAGCACATAGAACTAGAGTAAAATTTTACTCTCATTCTCTCAAACAAAAAACAGAGTAATAGAACCAGAGTAAAATTTTACTCTGATTCTATCAAACAAAATTAGATCAAACGCAACAAAAAACATCAAAATAAAAAACAAACAAACAAAAATAATAATTAATTAACAAATCAACATACTTGATTGAGAAGAAAAACCTCTAAAACTCGATCAATACTCACAAATCTCAATGAAACTCTCTTTTAATTGAGAGTGTTGATCGTCGGCGGCGAGATCGTCTATTGTTGACCAAGAAAGAGATCTTCGGTTGCGAGATCTTTAGATTTGGAGATCGTCTTCATTGATTTCATAGATTGCGTTCTTGATTTCGCAAATTGTCGCAGATCTGTATACTATATATCAGCTCAGATTTGAAATATATGATACATATATATATAAGGGCAATATTGTCATAAAAAATAGAAATTATAGAATGTCCTTATTGAGACAAACATCTCCTACTCAGGAGTTTTTTAAAAGAAAATTGATTGAGTTATCCTTTACCCTAATAAAATGGCTTAAAATGGGGATTTCACCAAAAATCTCTAAAATAAAAAAAAGAAAAAGAAAAAAGGATGGACAGATTGGTATACAAGAATCTCAAATAAGATTTTCCGGTAATTTTCCTTGATTGAATTATAGAGCAAGTAATCTACTCAAAACAATTTATGATATTGTGCACTATAATTGACACTATTGATATGCCACTTGATCCAGTTGTGCGATAATTAGTACTGGACCCTATTAGAGGACTCAGGCTGCCGCCGTTTTTGGGGCCTCATAGGTCATGTGTTCAAATCCAAACACCCCTTCCCCTGGATTTATTACCAAACTCAAATTGTATGAAATAATTCAAGTAATTTTAAACCTATTGTTCAAACTCGGATTGTTTTATAAATTTGAATTTTTGAAACACGATTTTAAGATTGAAGTCTTGTTTTAACACTAGTTCAATTTATTTTCAACAAATTAGCTTAAGTTGTATTTTTATACCACTTGGATTTGGGGACTAAATTTAAAACTGCTTAAATTTCAGAATTTTGATTTAAAACTACTTGTGTTTGGGAACAAGTGTGATATTGCATGTACTTTAAAAAAAAAAATTAAAAAAAAAAATAGTATGGTTCGGAGCCTACTAAGGGGAACCTTGGCACATAAATCATCCATAATTAACAAAAATCCTACGTATTGATCACATTTGGTGTGTTATATGAGTTGTTATCATTACATTAGTTTAAAAGATCCTATTACTTAGGTTTGTTTTCAATACAGTGGTGACACTCACATAGTAAACTAAATGTGATAAAAAAAATATAATTATCATAATACTAAAAAAAAAATAAAAAAAAATAAAAATATCAAAATTAAAAAGGTTATTCTAGAATATGGCATACATTTTGTTCATGTATGTCACATCTCGAGTAACCCTTTTAATTAATCAATAGTGTTATGATAATTATATTTTTATATTACATTTAGTTTTCCAGGCAAGGCGGGCAAAGCTCTCGCCTCGGGCTCTCAAATTCTGTCCAAGATATAGGACCCTAAAATAATTTTGATTTTAAGTTAGGTTTGGTTAATTATTTCGATTTTAAGTTATGTTTAGTTTATTGAAACGAAATTGAATTAAATAATCATTTCATCATAATGTCCATACTCACTTTTTCTTTACTAAAACATATTACAAATGAAATCATTATTCACCATTATAAGAGAATAGTCATTCTATAAAGAGATTAAGAAATGATCATTCCATATTCCTTTCAATTTTATTTTAATGAACCAAACAGTACATTATAGTATTAGTAGTTTAAAAATAAAGTTTTACAATTTTTTTTTAAAAAATAATTTATTTGGTGGATTATTTAGAAATAATTGATGATTGTTTGTCAAACTAACGGTCAACTAATAGAAAAGAGCTATCAGCAAATCAAAAGTAAACCTCAATGAAGGTTAGTGTAATTTCAAAAAAAGTAAGGGAGGCCAATGCAATTGTCAAAAACTTTAGGTGAGGTGACTGTAATTTACCCATGACTTTATGCACCCAGAAAAAAAGAAAAAAAGAAAGAAAAGGAAATTGCAATTTAGTGGAATCTTCTCAAAATAGTTGTAAATTAGTGGAACACTTTATCAACTTTAATAATTAAAGCCATAAAAATTTTCATGAATTTATAATTTTTTTGAGAACACTTCATTGATTTATAATTTTCTCAACAAAATAAATTCTAATATAACAATTAACTACTAACTTTCGTCGATTGAAAAAATAAAAAAATAAAAAATAAAAAATTCTCTTTCCAGAGAGGTCTGGTCCAGCCCATTGTAAACTCACTTTAGATCCATATTAATGATCCGAACTGTTCATTTTATGAAATCTGTTAAGTACGTTATTCATACAAAAAAATAAGTTGCTCGGATATTGATAGTCACTTGATATTGCCATTTTATGTGATTATTTATATTTCTTTCCTTAAACAAATGTAATCTGATCAATTTGATTTTTCAGTCATAATGTGCTCGACAGATCCCCCACAAAATAAACTACTTAAATTGTTGGGGGTAGGCCCAAGGTGAGCCCACAGTGAGATAGATTGGAGAGGATCTGTTCACTTTTTTTTATTTTTTTTATTTACTAATTTAAATCAGTTAAAAGAAACAACATTTCAGATAGAGCCACGTCAGCTACAAATAAATAAACGGCTCAGATTTGGTTCTTTAAATAATAATAATAATAATAATAATAATAATAATTAAAGATAATGCACCGAATAAAAGCACTCTCGTGACATGGAATTTGAAATATCACCTGCCCTTCATTATTTGCACAGGGGCACAGTTTGGTCCACCAGTTGACTCTTCAAAGTGGATAAGACTACACCTATTTTTGATTGCTACCCTTTATTTCAATTGCTTCCCATCTCATGTCATAATCAAAATGTCATCAAAACTTTTAGAAATTATTTAATGTAATTTTAAAACTTAGACGGTTGGTCAAACTGAAAAAGTGATCAGATCAAGAGTCACTGATTCAATGTTTAAGTGAAACGAAATTGAATTGTGATGTCATAATTATTTAATAAACATATTAATAATTAATTTTAAATAAAAAATCAGAATTAAGATACAATAAGTTAAAATATTTTAATATTAATATTATTTATAAAAATATTAATTATAATAGTATTTGAGAGAAAACCAGTTAAATATAATAAATAAAATACAGTCACTATATATATCGAATAAGCTATGCTCCAAAAAGCTATGTTGATTTAGTGGAAATGCACAGCTTCCTCATGCGTGAGGTGCTGTGTTTGATTCCCTGTAGCAACGTTTTTTTAACACTTTAGATCAAATGCATTGAAGCTTAACGATTTGGGTGGGTTTGCTCCATCGGCCTCCATTCAGTGGGTAAACTACCATCCGCCTCCAGTTCAGCGGTAATTCAGTTTCACCGGTTTACTTAAAATAAGTCGGTTTTTCTTTTGAAATTCGCTTCACTCACCTCCTCTGATTTAA